GCATCCCCGGGGGGTCCCCTGAGGCTGCCCAGACCTGGGAGGTGCTGGTACCTAAAGGACGGTATTAGCAGGGAGAGAGAATCAGCAGAAGGGTGCTGGTAGCAGAGGGTTAACAGCTCGGTGCCCAGCTGGTCTCCTAATAAGATCACCGAGGACAATTTCGTTCCCAGGTGAACGGCTCCCTGGTCCCACTCCCCCAGCTTTCCCCTCCACAGGCAGCTCTTCCCCCTAGGAGAGGGGTGGGTAGGAGCCAGGGGCAGAGGAAAAAAGGGCCCCCTGCCTCACCCCCAGCAGGGCTGGGCTCCCCAGATCACCCCCATTACTGTGACAGCAGCTCCTCTCCTCAGCTCCAGCTCCTGGAGTCAGGCTGTTAAACCACAGTCTTTGCTTACTTTAAAAGCCCAAGCCACCTCCAGACCCCTCCTTTGGCAAACCCCTTTGAAATGTGATGGGTACCAGCTCATGGACCATATAGGGAAAGCAAAAGAACTCCACATGTTGTTATTTAAAAACCCAGTGGTGATTAAACCAGTCTGGTGATCCGGGGAGTCTGACTCATCATTTTTTTTTAACACTCGGGGTTTGTGAGATGTGGATTTACTGCTGCTGTTCTCCAGCAGCAAATCCCTGTATCCCACAGGGAAACCTGCAACAGCCCGGGGCAGAGGCTCCCAGGCCATGCCTGCCTTGACACCCCCATCCTGCAACACCCCCTTACCTGCCTGGGTGCTCTGCCAAGATGGGGGCAGTGGGGAAGGGCTTTTAATCTCTGCAGCTCTATGTCCAGCTCTAATTTTAAAGCAAAGTAAGATGTTCTGGAAGAGCTGGTAGCCAGCTTCATTCCACCCTTGTTTTCTGGGCTCCTGAGCCCTGCTTCTTGCTGCTTTGCCAGGGACAGAAGTGTTCCAGCAAGTGATGCCATGTCCTGTTCCCTCCACCCACCTCTTTCCTCCAGGAGAGGCATTACAGGTGGGCAGAGGAGCCACCCTGCTGCAGCCACCAGGGAACTGCCAGCAGCCATGCCAGGCTGCCCGGGTGCAAGATGACCCTCAGGACCACACGGGCAGCCAGCTTAGCCCAGGCTTTCTTTTGCCTCCTGCTGCACATCCCCTGGGGCATCTCCTGCCCCCCGAGCTGCCAGTGCACCGAGCGGGCGGGGGCCAAGGCCGTCCTCTGCAGCTCCCAGCACTTGGAGGAGATCCCCGAGGACATCCCCAAAGACGCCGTGTTCCTCAAGCTGGATGCTAACAGCATCACCAGGATCCCCAGCAACGCCTTCAGGCACCTCTCCCACCTGGAGGAACTCGACCTCTTTTTTAGATCGACAGGGCAGCTTTCAAAGGGGTAGCCGCGGGGCTGAGGACCCTCGACCTCTCCGGCAACCGCATCCGCAGCGTCCCCAAGGAGGCGCTGCTGGCGCTCAACGCCAGGCTCCGCCTGGCCAACAACCCCTGGCACTGCGAGTGTGCCTTGCAGGAGGTGCTGTGGGGGGCACGGCTGGACCCCGACTCCGTCCAGGACATCACCTGCCACACGGCTCCACGCGAAGAGTACGTGGGCAAACCCCTGCTGCAGGTCCTGGACGCGGGGGTCAACTTCTGCAGCGTGCGTCAGAGGAGCACGGACGTGGCCGTGTTCATCACCATGTTTGGCTGGTTCACCATGGTCATTGTCTACGTCATCTGCTACGTCCGGCACAACCGAGAGGACGCCTGCAAGCACGGGGCTCACCTGAAGCCCCCGCCGAGCGCCCAGGGTCCTGCAGAGGTCACCAGCACCGCCCTGTAGAGCGGGGTCGGGGGGTTTCCTCTTCCCAGCTGCTTTGTGGGGGAGCCAGGGGCAACTTGGTGGGCTTCAAAGCTTCTCTGTGGGGTTTGCCAGTGCTTGCTCCAGCCTTGCAAATGAGTGCTGCTGACTTGGCCCCTCCCCTGTGATGCTGGACTGAGTGTGAGCAAAGGACTCGGGGGGATGGATGCTGGAGGTGCCTCATGCAGACCTCCCTATGGAACCCAGGTTCCAGAGGGAGGAACCCACACACACAGACCCCTTCTCTGCCAGAGCAGGGCTCACAGTGAAAGCAGCCCCAGCCACATGAGATTTGGAGACAACAAGCTCCTGGAGGGGGAGATGGATGAGGGTGAGGGCTCTTGTTGGGCCAGGAGGTCCCTGGGGTGCAGCGGGGTCACCCTGTCCTGGCTCCAGTGAGGGACTGGCCTTGCAGAGAACAGCCCCCAGCCCCTCACACGGCATCCTGGCAGCCTCTGCTTGCCACCAGTAACCTGGGGGCCACCTCCCAAACCTTTGATTTCTCAATAAAGCCCCACTCCTAGGAAAAGCCCTTGGGGTTTGCACTGCACTGGGTGCTGGGCATCTGGGGAGGGGGGTTGTGCTTGTCCTAATCTCTCCCAAAGCAGACAGGCCTAAATTCAATGTACCAGCTCAACTCCCATTAGGTTACATGCCCTCAAGCAGAGGCCAGCTGGCCAAAGGGTGCTTCTGCATCTCATCTGGTACAGCTCAGCTTATCTTGCCTTTCCTCAGGGCTCAATTAGGGGCACTGCTCGTGGCTCAGCAGAATGGCAGCAGAACAAGTTTTGTCTTATTTCACAAAGGAAAAATGGTCCTTCCTGGCAAAGTCAGCT